TTATGGTTGTATGATAATATCTTTTTGGCTGTTTTGTGGTGAGAAAAGTCAGCAAACCTAAGTTCCCTGTCATATGATTTGTCCTTGCCTTATCTTGCCCATCCTTCTCCTTTATAAACTCGCATTACTTCATTTATATCCCAAAGATGATCTGCTGTTATTGACTTCTTTGTTCTCTATCCATGATTCCTTACAAATTCTTTCCTCCATTATTCGTCTTTCTCTCTATCTACCTCTCTTTTACTGCTTGGAAGTTGGAACATGTAATTGGAATATATATAAAAAGCAACCAAGAATAAGGTGCTGCATAGTGCATACAGTATCAGACAAAATACAAAATGAGATAAATATTTTCCACATCACAATATCTGCAAGCCCCATTAGGTTATCATTTTCCAAGCATCAAAAATTGCTGCAATTGGCCCACAGTGACATTCGATGTGAAGTAAAGGGGGCGGTGATGAACATAATCCTATTGTTACACCTTTCACCTGCATAAGGATGGATGGATTTGTATTTTAATTAAGTTAAGGGCTAGGAGGCTCTCAAATTATTAAAAACTAGATCATGCTATCAGATAACCTCTAATTTGGTTTTAATGCAGTTAAAATATCCCTACAAACCGAAAAACTAATCCTTCGATGCCCTGCATTCTTTTATCCCTGATATCAATGCAAGCCCTAATTTTAAGTGTAACTAATTAGCTATGCTGGAATATGGACACCCTTTTGTTGCATATTTATTGCAATCGAAACCCTAATTATCAATGAGATGTTCTGAAGAAAAAAAGATACTTTTGTATTTACAGGATTGCATTGCCTTGTTGAGAGTGCCTCAAATTGTTGCAGGTTGTAGAATATAATAGGGTGAGGATGGATGAGAAGAGTTGGAAACGAAATATGAGACACGGGAGAGGAAGTAGTTCAGTGTTACGGTCCATTGTAAGGTATGGGACTTGAGTCCCACATTGGCATATGGGGGGCTGATGTGGGGTTTATATAGGAAAATGGGCTCTTCTCTTAAGTTAGCTTTTGGGGATGGCTCTCCTATTGGCATGTATCATTCAGTACTTGTTTGTCGACTTATTACTGGAATAGGGCTAAAGGTGTAATTATGCAACCGAAACTATTATAGAAGATTGTTCTTCACAAACAATAAATTTAAAAGGTGGTTCCTCACAAGGATCCTTTTAAAGCAATGTATCAAATTTTCATTCTATTTTCTGTGTTATATTAGCTGAAAATTTTTAGAGTTTGTCACTGATGGAGAATATGATCTGAAACCCATTCTACAAATTGCTTTCTCTTTCTCAACATCTGAGTTGATTGTGCTGCAGGTGATAGCTGCCATGTGTTCGAAAATACCGTTCATTAGCAATGCAATTAAGAAAGCTACAGGCTGCGGTAAGTCCTCAGGGCTCTTTCCTGATCTTTTATAGCCGTTGTGCCAGCTTTGATAATTCATTTTGACCTCCCTCACCGTCCCTCTTATTTTTTGTCTGCATGTTAGCTCAATATGTTCTTTGGCTAGAGAGTTATATTAAGTTTTGACATCAATTTATCATCATAAGACTCAAATTAAGGTTCTTTAAAAAGTTAAATTTATCTTAATGGAGAATGGTTTATTTTTATCTAAATAAAAAATTAAAGAACACTCGTATTTGTTTAAATAGATGAAGCCCACTTGTTTCATGTTTGACCATATTTGGGCTCATACTCACTACCTCTAGCTTCACTGAGTTGATTTTTCTCAAAGTGCAAGAGCAATAATGGCCTTGTATTCAATAATGGGAGTCCCTGCTTCCAATAAAGGCTCTCGCTACAGGATCTGGAGACGGGGCGCATCATTCTTCTTCTCCATTGAGCATTTGCTTATAGGGGAAGTCTTGTGCAATTAAACAATATGTTGGATATCATTGATTGGCTTAACGTCTAATTCTGGATGAAATGCAAGATTTATTGTCATAAATGCTAAGGTTGTTTTATGCATAAACACCCTTTAGGTAAGAAAAAGGCCGTAACCTAGGATGTGAAGGATTCCTTGAAAAGATTGGCTTAACGTTTTTGTCACTTAGTTCCTTCGCACATGTAACTCTATCATGGACATGACTAATTCTTTGCACGTGTAGTCTTACTGCTGATTGAATTGAGCTTATTGGCCTGGCCAATGTCAACACTATAAACCTCCTCCCTTCTCTTTGGGTAGTTTGCGAGAGCCATTTCATCCTTTTCTATTCTGTTCCAGGAAGTTTTGAGGCTGTATGTCCCTAAAAATATTGAATTCATTACTCACAACAGATTGATTTTGGGATTGTTGGACCTTCCCCACTTAGGTGACATTACTTGAAGCCTTGGTTGGCCTTGGGATTTATGCTTCCTAGATGAGGAGCTCATTGTCCATTCTATTCTCGCAATTCACAAGTATTACATGCTGGCTGCAAGAGGAGTTTACTTTAATCTAGCGATACCAACATCATCTTTTAATATGCTACGGGCGTAATTTTTTTTTGCTGCAACGCTACGGGCGTAATATTTTTTTTGCTGCAACGAATGGGCGTAATTGAATGCTTTGTAGATGCTCATAATGATCAAGATGGGCGTAATTGAATGCTTTGTAGATGCTCATAATGATCAAGTTCATCTTGTGCAGTGACAATGATATTAATAACGTTGTATATTCTCATACATGCTGATCGGACTTGCTTTACCACTCTTCTTTGTAAACATCCCTTGATCCTTAGACGGTTTGTCTTTTATGGTATCTGGAGAGTTGGATTCTTGGGAAGCTCACATTCATCTTGATGTTAAGTATATGTCCATTTCAAAAAGCAGAGTTCAAACTTCCAAAAATGAAATGCTTGCATGTTGTCCTGATAAAATCATGTGTACCCTTCTCAATGCTGTTCTTCTAAAAGGAAAGCTAACGTCAAGTTATCATTCATACAATCGAATCTGAATTTTGCAGATTCCTTCAATTTAGTAGTCAACAACGGTGCTGCTGCTGGCCAAGTCATATTCCATGTAAGTAAATTACTGTTATCCTCCATCTTATTAGTCCGCCGAAGTTATAAACCTCTGCCTTTCAAATTTGATTGTTTTATTCCATGGAATGTTTTTCTATGTTTTTTTTTATTAAGGATGTTGTAGTTGCTCTACTTAGCTTTTACTTATTAGTATTACTGATCATATACCTTAAATTCCCTGCAATTCTTTGTGGCATCTTTAGACACACATTCATATAATTCCACGAAAGGCACATGATCGCTTGTGGGATTCAGAGGTATTCCTTCTCCTCATGTAATAGCTTCATACTTCCAACCATTTAGGAATAGAAACTGATAAGTGTGTAATTATTGTAGAGTCTGAGGCGACTATCTGTGAAATTGGATGAGGAAGCACCTCATCTTGTAGAAAGCATACGGGAACATCTTTTGCTTGCAAAAAACGAGGAGGAATGCAAGGATCAAGGATCAGCTTTGGCTGGGAATTGTAGAGGATGACACTGTTAAACGTAATCTTTGTACACTAATGAATGCTTATTCTTTTAGTTTGGTTTTCACGAAAGCGTGCACAAATATCCAACAATGTATAAAAGAAAAAAAAAGTACTTTTTGTGATCAATCAATTTGATGGATATAACACACATTGAATATATAAATACTACTTGTATCATTTTATACCCATGTAATTTTTGGACTATTTATTTGATCGACTTTTTCAAAATTCTACACTAATAAGTCTATCAGTTTGAGTTCTCGATTGACAGATTCATATCACACAGTTTCAGCTCACTCTGAAGCAATTTCAGAAGGATTGGACCATCCCCTTTCTGGGAAACAATAACTCGAAATCGAGATGTTGGATCATGAATTTATGTTAGTATGGACTAGTTTTGATAGCCCAATTTGGATAATTATGGAGGTCAAACAGAAGATTATACAAGCAATCTTTTTGGGAAGAAGGAACTTGGAAATGCTAAGTAATAAATCTTCTAAGCACTTATTCCAAAACTTTGGATCCAACTCTTTACTGATATACTGTACTACCATTGAGATCTTAGCTTGCTAATCAAAATCAGGTATTTATTGATCCAACTCTTTACCTTAATAGTTTATCTCCTAACTCTTACCATTGACTCAACTTTGGATCCAACTCTTTACCGTAATACTATCCGTGAGATTAAATTTTCTTTATAAAAATATAATCTACATTCATTACCATTACCACTATTTATTACCACCTACCAAATGAGTCATAAAAGTTATATAGTCAGTTTTTTTTAGCACTTATCATTGTATATGCATTTAGGAACTATGATAAGGGGATAACAAAACATACTGTGTAGTTTCCACAAGGATTGTGGCATGAGTGCATGACTATCAATGGTGGTGGACTAATGGGTAGGGAATTAGGGATTAAAGGGGATTGGTAATTAGTCAACCAACTAAACCATTCAATATAAAGCTAATCCACTTTTTTGTCATTTACTTTTTGCTTTTGCCTTGGATATGGTGAAATGCTAACAAGGTAGACTTAAATGAAACAAAGAGAATAACAAAATTTTTTTATTTTTTTATTTTTTTTATTATTACAAGGGCAGGTGTGATAAGAATTGATTTCAGGATTTCCTGAAACCGGGAGGGATCTCTAACCACTTGAGCTATCCCTCACTCTCAATTAATGTAATGTCAACATGCATATACTATATCCGGTTCGGTCTCGAGTAAGATTCATCATTATAAATACTCCAGTATTCCCCTCAACTCTCAAGAACGGATATAAATTACTAAGAGATCATCTTTTAACATATTTCAATTTTTTTGAAAACTACAACCTTACGTCACTGATAGTCTAATACGAAGTGCTACCTATCTAGTTCAGTAATTATATTATTCCGTATTTATCAGATGCGTTATATCCATAAGTAATTCTATCATTCCGTATTTATCAATTATTTTACGATCACACGTACAATTATTTAGGTTATTCAATCACTCCAAATGTCGTAATGTCGTATTTTCCTCTACTCACTAGACTTCGAGCGTGAAGAAGACGAAGATTTTATGTACAATTGTACACCTTCCTCCTAAAAACTAAAAACCGAAAGAACAAAACACGTACGTAACACTCTAAAACTTCCCCCTTTATATTCATTTCTTCAACTTAAGACATTGTCTTCTTCAAACTGTTTTATTATTCATTTCCCCAAATAACCATTTTTCTGGGTCAAAACATTCTCAAAACTTCCATCTTCAAATTCTCCAGAATCTTCCGATAACTTTACACTAGGAGAGAGAGAAGCAAGAAATGTCTCCAATGGCGGCCATCTCTTCAGTGGCGAAACAAGCGGAGCAACTTCGACAAGACGGAAATAACTGCTTCAAGAAATCAAGGTTTGGAGCTGCCATTGATGCTTATACTGAGGTATTTTTCATTTCTGTAAAAAAACCCTAATTTTGTTTCTAATCGTTGAAATTTGTTCATAATTTATGATTAACGTTACAATTTATCATCCAATTGAGAAATAGAAAGCGATTTTATGTCGTAGGCACATTTTGATTGGTGAATTTCGTGCGATTTTTATAGGCAATTACGTTGTGCCCTAATATTCCGGTTTATTGGACGAATCGTGCTCTTTGTCATATGAAGAAGAAGTATGTATCTTTATATTTGATCATCTATTTTCCATTTTAATTTGTTTTGATTGATTTTTTTTTTTTAATTTTTTTTTTCTGTTTACTGTGTAGTAATTGGGATAGAGTTATGGAAGATTGTCGAAGAGCAGTACAACTTGACAATAGTTCGGTTAAGGTGTGTGGTTACTCTTTGAATCTTTGTTGCTGTAATATATCATGGTTGTTTGGCAATTTTTGGTAATTTGTCTCGGCTTTTCGTGTTGCGCAACTACGGAGTTTTTCATATAATTCGGACTTTATGTGCCCTTAATTTGCAGTCTTACATTGGTATTGGTTGACATTGCACTAGGAAATAAGTTAGCGAAGATGTCGTTTCATTTGGGAATGTTAGATTGAGTTCCTTGTAGGATTTTTGAGTACGAATAGACTTAGTTAGCATTGATGTTCTGAGGTGTTGCAAAGGAAATCAGCTGAACTCTCCCAGGAGATGGAAGTTTACTATACTAGAGAAGTTTAGGAATGTATAAGGACATAATATGCAATCTTGTGTATTTTATATTGTTTATTGTCGAATGTTTTCTTGTTAAGCGTGTGACCATTTCAAAGAGTTCCCCTTTGGCTGTCCCTTGATAAGCTTGTGGCCAACTAGCCATTTTGAAGACTTTTGTTATTTTAGGAATTAGGTGACAATACCCTTTTTGTGTTACAAACAAAGCAACAAGAGATGGGATTTATACATAGTTACAAATCGATCCCTAGATTCCTATCATACCTTTGAGATGGACCGTTTGGTTTAGAAAGAATTGCCCTAAAGGTTTGAGCTAATACTCACAACTTGAGAGAAGTGACATTTTTTTTTGACTTCCGACCTAGCAAGTAGCTATGCCTATGTGGTCTTTAAAATGAACAATGTTAACAATCTTTGTAGGAAAGCCAGGGGTTAATATGACACCTACAATGTCACGCTCGAGATAACCAACCAACAATACAATCCAATGAACCCAAACAACCACCACAACAACTAATCATCAACTAAAAAAAGCAACAAATGCAGTATAAAGACAACAATTACAGGAAGATTCAATTGCAAAGAACACACATAAATTATATGTGAAAAACCCCTTTGATGTGAACCACGGGACAATTTGAGGAGTATACCGTGTAGGCGTGTACATCTCTTATTGATATTTGAGTGTAAAATTAATTCAATTCAGTCTACAAAAGGTTTACAAACCCACCTAAAAACACCAACTATTAGGAATGAGCAAAGTAGTAGAACTGTAGAAGAGCAAAAGTGAAGAAATCACCAAAACGTAGGCTTTCGTCCAACAACAATTCCATACAGACCAGAGCTTCAAATAACGATTCCAGTAGCAAGTTTGCGACTTTACACTAGACAAGACACTACCTTATGAATGGGCATGTGTGGAGGGAATTTAATAGTTGAATGCTTTTGAATGTCCTTTTTTTTTAGGGGGGGGGGGGAGAGGAATGAGCTCAAGTGCAGCTTTCTACTTCTCCATTCATTGTCTGAAATAGTCTTGTTTGAGTTATGGTCTTACCTATATGTAGAAAGGATTATCGTCCTAAATGGATTTCACACTTGGTGGACTTAGTTTTTAGAATAGAGGTTAGAGTGAGAAAATGTAGAATGTATTGCAGAGATGGAGAGAGTAAAAATTCACTTGACAAGGTAAGTGTTACTTCGTATATTTTATGGGACATCCTAAGTGTAAATTTCTTTCTTAGGGACGAGTAATTTCAATTATCAGCAAATGAAAGGTGTTAACTAACAATAGCTCTTTAGTGATGGTGAGTGCTTGATTGGATATGTTACAGTCTTTAGATTTCATTGTTTTCTCTGCCTAGAGTTTTGGAGTTTGTTCTGCTAGATCTTTCAAAATCACTTAAAGTATTAACTGAAGATGGAGAGTTGGTTAGAGGCTTCACTCTTTTGGAAGGGACACAGTCCACAATGCTGGAGAGTGTGATTTGCTGAATTCATGTCATGGGTTACTCTGCCATACAGCTTATTGGCTTCAGCATTTTTGCACTCGGGATGAGTGCAACAAGCTTGGGTTAAGTATGTACTAGCTTGCCTGCCTGCCTTGTGGTTCAAGCCAACCAATCTTGGGTGCCCCCAAAGAGTCCTGTCATGATCAGCTCTCTATCTCCCGAGGTAAAGTAATTAAGGTGTTTCTTCCACATACCAAAACTAGGGTTTAGGTTGGAAAAACCAAGATACATCAATTGAAAAAAAATAGATAAGACGATTATTTCTCATGTTGAAATGACAATTAGAAGTGGACAGGTGGTCTGCTGTCCATGAAGGATAGGTGGCTAACTTTTCCAGACATCGTTGTTGGTGGAATTACAATCTGTATGCATGAAGCCTCGTCTTCAATCCTATCCTATGACTCACTAAGGGATGGTGCTCATCTCTCTCGCCTTTTTTTTTTTGGAATCCATTTGCTATGCACTGCTATCAATGGTGTTTTGTATTTTTAATTATAACAGTTTATTTGTAATATTCCAATGCCTTTATCTTTTGGGAAGGTTTTTTTTGGTTGTTTTATGGCTTATAATATATACCATTTATAACTGACAAGAATCTTCAAGTTTAAAAATCATTAATTAAAGTATCAGGAATGTTAATTGTACTTGGTTCTTTGTGGGTAGGTTCTCATGTACCATGCCAGTGTTACATATCTATTCAAATTGTGATATGTAATACTTCCTCCGTTCTGTTAATATTGCAACAAGGAGGAAATTACGCATCCCAAAACACATTTTATATGCTAAATATCTATAATTGTGTAAGAGTAAAAATTATAAAAAGTTGATATTGTGAAAGTATTATATGAGACGAATCCAACAAGATCCCACTTGACTATATTTTGCTTAACGTATAACTCATATTATATGGTCAAACAAGAGTGATGAATAGTGCAAAAAGTCCATTGTTGCAATATTAATAGAACGGAGGAAGTATTGATTTAGGTATTAAAATTGATTCCTTAAAAGGTCAACTATACCATTAATAAGTAGAACTATTCTGTCTATTTATAATTTGAATGCTTAGTGCTTACCAATAGACGGAAAAAAAATTACTCCTTATATTAAAAAAAAAAGCATAACTTTGTCGATTAAGTGATTTAAAACAAATGGTTTAAACCTTCCCCCCCCCCCCCCCCCCAATTTCTCACATCTGGAAAAGGGTTACATTCAAACAAAATATTTAGTACTTTGGCCTGTCAAGATAGCGGAATTAGGCGACATAGTCACTGAGCAAATCGATCAATTCACAACTTTGAGGATACATTTTAATGGAAACCATAACATTTTTTTTTTCTTTCACTTATCACATTCTTCGATAGAAATTAGTCAATTTTGAATTGTGGGCTTGTAACACCTTTCATGTTGCGTTCAAACCCGCAAAAATTAGTAGACCCCTGTAATGCCTCATGAATCGATCCTTAAGCATGGCAAGATGGCAACATTGTCCAAACTCAAGACATTAACTTGATAATTGAGAAATTAGATCATGTTAGGTTCGTATGTGATATCAGTGCCTATGAAGTATGGCTTCTCTTTGGGATTTGGGAGTTTGGTGATGAGTAGGTTACATTTACTGAACAATAGAAATCTAACTTTCGTACTTCCATAGTTTTAAGACACATCATACTTGTAAGTGGAGAAATTGTTGAGTGTTGAGCCTTTTTTTGAATCGTTCTAGAATGTGCAAAGTGGCAAACCATCATTTACACTGACTTGCCATCTGAGCGAGTTGATGTATAATCTACGCCTTAGCCTTTTTCCTTAGTTGAGTGGGTGGGTGGGGATAACTTTCTTGCATTGAGTTAATGGTATTTTTTATAGACAACTTGCTTGAATCTAGCTAATTTTAGTTTTACAAATCAATTTTTTGAAATTCTGTTTCATTTTTTTTTTCCCTCTCCTCTTGGTTGCTTAGAGGTATAGTTTTTTCAGATTACTGTGTTTTAGTTTGAAGAATACATCAGTTCATCCTAGCTTTTTTATTGTAATGCAATTCTATTACAAGGTTTTTTGCGATATACTATGTATGCTCTCATGTTTTGATGGCATAGAGCTGTCCTTATTTTCTAGTTTTGTTAGATGTTTAGCAGTGTACATCATAGTATTCTGCGGAAAATCACTGATTGACATTTTGGTATTTATATTAAGAGAGAATTTAATTTTTTGTCTTTTTAACTGCTCATTAAAAAATAATTAGTATTGTTTCCAATAACAGGCACATTATATGTTGGGTCTTGCATTGATACGGAAACAAGACTATAGTGACGGAGTTAAAGAACTGGAAAAGGTATGTTATGGATTTTTGATAAATGATAATTATTGTTTGATTTTATGATTTGTACTAGTAGAGTTGTAGGTAAAGTATTATTCCATTCTACTCCTATAATCTTATCGCTTGCTCTTTTGAGCTCTTTAAAAAATTTCAACTCTGTACCTGAATTTGATTATCTGCTGCTTTACATTTTGGATTTGCTCTCTTTCTATTAGCAGTAGATGAATATATTGGAAATAAGGAAAAGATATGATAAATAATGTTCTTGACCTTGTAGTGCTTTATTTGACAATTGGGAAGAAGTGTTCTTTTTTTATTTGGCAGCTTTGGAACTAATTAGTTCTTATTTGCCAAAGCTTCCTCAAAATTAACTACTCCAGCTTTACCCTCTTGATCCTCTCTGCATGACTACTTTGCTCAGAGTGCTCTTGACACTGACTAAAGTTGAATTACTATTATATTGTATAACTATTTGAGAAATTGTCCTCTATGTTTTTTCTCCTTTTCATCACAATTACTTTTTGTTTAGGTTTTGATGTTGGTATTTTCATTCCCCTTTCCTTTTACTTCCCTTCACCTCTCCATGAGTTTTTGTTAAGATTTGTTGTATTTTATTAATTTTCTCTACTTTGTTTGCTTCTGTAATATTTTTTTGGAGGGTCTTTTGGTACTTGTATTTCTTTTGAGGCTTTTTATTCGTACCTGTAAACGATGAACTTATTGGCCCTTCTTTGAACTTATTTTAAGTTGTGAACAGTACTATTGAGCCTTTATTTCATTTTATTTGCACTTAATTGAACTTATTAGGATTTTTCAGACTTGAAACGTATGTTAGTAAGGTCAAAATAACAGGTCTTTCGGGCTACTCTACAGTAATATGTTAGACCTTCTTGACCTTCTCACAACTTGTGTGAGGGCAAAGTAAGATTATGCTGATGGTGCATGTTAAAGTAGAGGGCTCATCTGTGCACTGCAAAAGCAATTTGAAAGCTTGGGTTTAGCGCTTTAGAAAGACCTATATGGCATGCGTTGAAATAGAGTGCTCATCTATGCACTGCTTAATTACTTTGGAAATACATCTAATGGCTTAAGCCACTATTCCTATTTCCTAGCTGACCCATCATGCGAAAGGTGCACTTTTAGAATGGAAGCTTCGGTTGAAGTGCTAAAGGCTCTAATTACCTGTGCAGAACAAGCAGTGAGTTATATAAAGTTCTAGGGTTTAAATTAGCACCAATGCTTCACGACTTTGGTGTTTTTAGTACCTTGTGTGTGTGTGTGTGCGTGTGTGTTTTTTGATGCCATGATTCCTCTCAGTTATGAACCTATGGTCAATCAGTTAGTCTTCAGTTGGGATCTGAAGAGTTGAGAATATTTTGGTACTATTTACATTTCTGGAAGGATTATCTTCATGTTTTGCTAAAGCTGTCTACATATTAAGCATTTGGACTCCATATCGTTGGGAATGACATTAAGATTAACATTTGTCCAGATTGGGAATAATTATTATGATATTAGAAGATTTTGTAGCCCATCAAAGATCTAGGATATGTTTGAGGCTCTTTTATGGAGATAGGGTCAATGAGCATGATAAGGTATTAAGATGGACAAGATCTGGTGCTTTTGTTCCTTCCTTTTCCGTTTCTACCTCCTTGTCCTTGTGTTCTGTGACACCTTATAAGGTAGCAAATATCATAGTAGTCTCAAGGCAAAGTAATAAAAGGTAATTGTAGAGGGTGCCTGATGTATTAGATATTGCTGATCTTGGGTTCTGTTTAATTATCAAAACAGGTATTGACTTTATAGTTGTTGATACTGTATGATTTAGGACAACAGCTGGTCTTTCTTTTGTTGCATGGCTACCGGTTATGAAGTTTCTGTGGTTCTGGTTGCTGGTGGTTGTTTTTATAATATTGATATCATATACTTTGTATATAAATATGAATACAATTATTAAGCTTTATGTTCTATTGATTTAAGGCCTTGATCTGTTCTCTTGATATAGGGTGTTCTGGTATGCATTTATTAAGGTCTGGTCTCTGACTGAACATTAATTGTACAATATCATGTGAGATCTAGAACTTTAACTGTATGATCCATCTCAATCATTATTCTCCAAATTACAAATCTTGTAATTTTTATTACATAACAATATTAAAGATATTTCGTACCTATCAATAACTAACGGTGCGTTTGGATTGAAGGAAATGGAGGGAAAGGAAGGGTAGGAAAAGGAAAGGGAAATTGAGAGATGGGGTATTGATCCCTCCAACTATGAGGAAGGAAGGAAAGTAGGAAATTGATCCCTCCAACTATGGAGAGAATGAGAGATTCGGAAGGAAAACTCACCATTCTTCCCTCCCTTACCTTTCACTTCCTTCCTCCCCCTTCTTCCACCCCCCCCCCCCCCCCCACCCCCCACCCTCTTCTTTTCCCTCCCCTTTCTTTATCCAAACACACTGTAAATGAAAATAAGAAAATTTGGTGGTGTTTGATCTGATTTTTACTAGAGTAAACGATAAGTTATTATGGTGAATTACTGAATGTACTGGGTATTTTGGACCTCCAGGCATTAGATCTAGGAAGAGGTGCAAATCCAAAAGGTTATATGGTAGAGGAGATCTGGCAAGAGCTTGCCAAAGCAAGATATCTATTGTGGGAACAGGAATCTAGCCAGCGTTCGTGGGAATTGCAGACCTTAAAGTATGCAATGTTTTACGTTAGCTTTTTCCTTCTTCTTTCTGACCACTTCTTATAGTATCATATTCTACATTGAAGTTTACTTCTTTCGCTTCCATTTTGTTTATCACTCAGAGAAGCATGTCAAGAGGCTCTTAAGGAGCAGCATATAATGGATTCTTCCAAGACTGAAGGATTTATTAGTGAAGCAGATGCTGGCCTTATGAAGCAGTTAGATGCATTGGATAATGTTTTTAGGAAAGCTGGAGAACATGACATACCTTCTGAGGTATTCAACTGTCTTTAAATTGTTTTCTGTTACCCCCATCCGTCAACACACACGCACTTACACAAAATAGAACAGAGGAAAAGCAAGGGGGGGGGGGCACTTGTATTGCAGTTTTTTATCAGATGTGCTTCAAAGATACTTCTGTGGCAGTTACTGATGCAGAAAACACAAATTATCTTTCAGGTGCCTGACTATTTATGCTGCAGAATCACACTTGACATATTCCGCGATCCTGTCATTACACCAAGTGGGGTCACATATGAGAGAGCCATTATCCTTGAGCATCTTGAGAAGGTTAAATTTGAGTCTTTTTGACAATATTTCTTCTTAATTTCATGTATATTTTATCACTATGTTGAGAACTTATTTTTCTTTTGGAACTTAGATGGGTAAGTTTGACCCAATCACTCGTGAACCACTTGATCAATCCCAATTGATTTCAAATTTGGCCATAAAAGAAGCAGTTCAGGCATATCTGGAGGATCACGGGTGGGCTTATAAGACAGACTAGCAGTGGTATGCTAAACTTCTTGGTTTCAATGGTGCGTGGATTTGGTCGTAACTCAAAGTAAAGCTCAAGTACATCCTTCCTGTGGAACCTGTGATCTTCCCATCTGGTCCTATTACTAATCACATCTTGTGCAATTCTTTACATTATAGAGTATTACTGTCATTCAACCGTTTGAGAGGTAATATTTATCTTTTAAATTGTACAGTTACTATGAGACATAGTTGAGGACTAGGGGTTGTAAAGCTTGTAGTCTTGTACAGTTAGTGAAACTTTGTGGTCCGAGGCAGAAAAAATGAAAAAATTTCCCTTGGGTTGATTTGTCCTTGATTGATTTTGCTGTTGTTTTCATGTCCTGTGGTTTCAGCTTATAATCATGGTTGTCAATTTTTTTATTTTTAAAACAAAATTACCGGGAAGAGATGTTTCTGTTATTACCGCGTTCTTCTCAATGTCTTTGCTGATAATCTGTTGTATCCTACTAGAATTGATGCGGTAATATGCTAAGGGCATCATACTTTTGAGCTAAATATCATGTGCACTGAAATTCATTTCTGGTTTTGACAAGAAAATGCGATAAATAAATCCCGACCAACAATTTATTATTTTGGCACAAATTATATGACTTATTATTGCCTCAATTTAGCAAGGTGTTGATTATATCCCTTTTCTTTCATAATGTACTTGTTAACAAATTGCAATGATTTTCTTCCTATATCTGATTGAAAGTTGCTAAAATTATCGCGCTTACCATACAAAGACGCGTTAGTATTCGGTTCCAACCTGAAAATCTTTCTGATATCTTGAGTTAGATCAGCTTGGCCTATTATCTGTGAAAACTTGACTGGTGGGACAATGTGGCTTAGTGGCTGGGATTGTGATTGTGTACAAATGCAGTTTGTTATGAGGATCTAACATGAGTAAAATTATAGGAAGTAATAGTGATTTGATGACCATTTTGGTTCACGTGTATAGCTTGGCATATTTGCTGGTTCTGAGACCTGTCATCATCTGTAACTGGAAGTTTACTGAGATCCATCTTCTTTGGTTTCTTCTGATGTTTAAATATCTGCAGACTGCAGGTATTATCTTCAGTTATCACTCAACATGCCTTATCTTTTGCAGACTAAGAAAAAGACAGTTTATGGAATAGTGCAAAGGTTGGATATCTGACATGCAATAATATTGAAGCAATTATTGTGGATATTAGCTGCCGATGACAACTAACTTAGTTGGTATTGTGAAACGTTGATAATATATTGCCGAACCATTTTATATCTAGACCTAGCAAGACTAAATTTGATTTTGATGAACCAAAATAAAACCTGGTTGGCTTGAAGATATTTTAATGGTTGATTTAATGAATAGATTCTAATGACTCAATCTGAAGTTGACTCGACCTGAATTCAATTCAAATGGCTCGGGTTGTAAATGTAACTAGATCTAATGACCAGTCTGCCCCATCCATATGTAAGAAACTCTGAATCTGTCTGGAAAAGAATGACAGAAAACCAGCAATAATACAGGATCATCCTGGCCTGTAGGAACCTGTGAAATTGAATATGGAGGGATCCAATGTAGAACTGAGGTGTTTGTGTGTTTGACCAATTGTGAACCTGACCTACTGCTTGTCTTTGTGCAAAGAACACAAATTTTAATTTAATTATGTATGGGCTGCTAACTGCTGTCTTCCCATGAGTATATTATCCAAATTATCACATGATTTTTTATACTAATGTCCAAGCAACTTAAGCTGGAACTCCCATTAATTCATGATTGATAGGGTATTATGCCTTAACGATTCGGAGATTGTACGCCTATCTCATTAAACTAACTAGTTACGCTTATAAGTGAGGCTAGATTTATTAAACAATACGAAGTAATACAATTCGGAAAATTCTTATTTCATCCCTTTGGTTAGTCTGTATGATTAGTAATAGATATGCAGCAGTTTGCAATGAAACATCTATCCATGTCAAATGTTCTTTGCATGAAGATAGAATGATATATCGCTGGTGCTTAAGCATTATAATGGTAACAGACGAGAAGATTAGTATCATCCACGGGTATGGAGTCCAAGCCAATGAAGCAAGCAATGATCCTTTTTGAGCTAAGAATTTGATCGGTAACTTTTACAGAAAACTTACATCGGAAAGAATAACTTAGAGATAAAATATGTAGATATCAACTAATTTAATTAAAGAATTAGGACGTAGTATTGGTAGTTACATATACGATTCGTATCACTTGCGAAATGTGATAGTAAGTGTTGTTTACTTATATAAGAGACACGGTAGCATTCAATATTCTGATTATTCCTCAAACCTTTAGGCAACTCTAACTCATTTATTAATAGGATACGTTCATCAACAGCAAAAAAGTTTATTTTCTTTGAGGAATCTATCCTTTTTTCAACGTCAATTTCATGAAGGTCTTTATCATAACATTATTGGATTCTTGTTCTTGTTCCAAAATGGATGGTTGTTACTTTTCAGTTATCCCCAACGAATGAGGAAATAGTCTTTTGGTACTCAGGATATATATGTGCTGGCTTTGATTTTTCAGTTGATTTACCCTAATACAAGATTCCTAATTCCCCATCATCACTCATTACTCGACATCGCCCATTCACCCGTGATTGAAGTTTCCTAGCGAATCCGTTTTAAATTGTATGATCACTTACGTAACATTTATTTCAATATTATTTGACCACTTAATTAACTTTTATTTATTTATGTACTAGATTAATCTCATGCGTTCCATGGTTTAAATAGATTTTATTTGTTTAAAATAGTTGTCAATATTCTTTATTCGAAAAAGTGTAATCATACTCTTATTTATTAATTTTGAAAGAAAAATGGTAATTGTTTAGTTTTAAAACTTAGGAGAAAAAAAATGATGATGTCAAAAATAGTTTTGGTGGGAAAAAATTTCATAAGAAATTGACAAGTGTCCTTTAATGATGTCAGCATGTTTTGTTTTAGTTTTAGTTAACAGATGTCAACTATTGACTATTTTAGTAAGTAGGTTTTTTTTTTTTTTTTTTTTTTTTTTTGCTATGATTGAAGAGTTTTTTTTGGCTTTTAAATTGACTATTGAACAAATAAGAAGTGTTAATTTACTATTGAACAAATAAGAAGTGTTTCGATAAACTCAACTATTAGCCACTAGTTGTAGGTCTATAAGACTATAAGGTTGTAACTATGCTAATTTGCACCCGGTGATACCAAAATAGACGTATCTTTTTCCATTTTGAATTAAAAATCCGCTTATCAACCAGTTGAAAAAGTAATTTATCACATCCTTTTTTACTATTTGATCATGTTAGACAAAAGATAATAATTACATAAACACCCCCAATATTTTTTTTTTTAAAAAACCTACACTCATTACTCAAGGACAATCATCCCACAAGACAATAGAATGAAGGAATAAATAATTTAGTTATCAATCATTCAATGATCCATAATATATAATTAAGTTTTATAGTATTTGTTTAACACATTGTTAATTTTAAGCATGCAATTGCTCCAATGGGCCATCTCCCCAATAATTCATGCATCCACAACACAAGATGCTCCATTATTTTTGCTAACTTTATAAAATTTAATTTGTACAATTGTACTCATGTCCTATCTTCATTGGTTCATATCATTAGGAACTTTTTGGATAAGTAGTGTAGTAGTTTCTTGAAGAGGAGTTTGGAGTTAGGCAGGTATGATATATTGCCCACCCTGTCTAATATAATGTCTTTAGATGAATGATATAACGAAGAGACTAGGCTCTAACATCCGCAATTAATATGTTGGGTGTTTATATAAGCACTTGTGCCTTGTACCACATGGTAGACCTTTTGTCTACTTACTACTTCTAAGTGTTTTTGTTTCCTTTATTTCTTTTCTTTCTTTTCTTTTGTCCTTGGGTGTTTATGAGATGCGTGACGTGGATCATTGATAAAACATCTATAGAGTTCAGACCTTTTCGCTCATTTTTCATGCAACAATAATAAATTTGGAGTTTCTTATTGATTTGGAGGAAGGGTTTAAAATATAAACATTTTCGACTAGATTTTTTAGTCTAATTAATATCATGAATCTACAAGAAACTCCTCTGATATTAAGGGTAAGTAACTAAAAGATCCTATAAGGTACCACAAAACAAACCCCTTGTAAGGTCTATAATGGTTGTTTTGAATTAATTGCATAAAACCATTATTGTGGTTGTTTAAAAGCACTTGGTGTTATGGTTTTGACTTTGTTCATCAAGCCTTGGTAATCTAATATGCTTACCATCAATTTTATTTGTATGATTTCATATTCAATGTCATTTATGATTTTCATAGCTAATAACTTGACTCTTGAAAACTCTTATAGGCAAATTAAAATTGGGGGAATTGTCATAATACAATATTTTAATAACATTGATATCAGATTGAAATAAGGTGTCATTTCAATTTTCAATTATGAAAAAGACTTCTACTTACAATTCTACATGAGAAAATTTAGATGTTTCTCCACCCAGTGCATATTTGCATGCGTACGTAAGTATTATTTAAGTGTTTTTTTTTTATATATAATTTTTATTTTATATCTAGGACATTTAATATTGTGACTTGATGAGTATAAAACTTGTACTCAAAAGACCCTGTCTGTTTTAATTTTTTTTGTTGAACAAGGTAATATAACTAGGTTACAAAAGGCATTGAAGTATGTGATAGAGTATAAAAACATATTCCCGAGCCTCAACCATCAACTTAAACTTTTGGTATGATTTGGTCCTTTAACATGGTATCGGATCCAGCGGGGTGATAGGCCGTCGTCGAGCCTACCAAAGATAATGATTCCTATCTTGGTCTCACTAACAATAGTAAGGGTAAGAAAGGGTCGAACCCAAGAGAGGCGTTGAATCAACCACCGAGTACTACCGTTTAAATAAGCTAAATAAATTCTAAATTGGGTTGGTTTTGAGTAACTTCTTCTAATTCAACTCAACTAAAGCTAAGAGGAGATTAACAATATTAAGAGGAATCTAGGGCTTGGGTTATACCACTCAACTTCATCACAAATCACAATTAGCATGCAACAATCAAGGTAAAATGATGGGATAAATTAGGGGAAATCATCTAAAGCACCCAACTACTCTCTCAAGCTAGAGGGATTACTTGAATCATGAATACAACCTACTCTCGTGGTTACATAGCATAAAACAAGTGTTAAAGCATAATCACGATGACATAAACATTCCCTTGACCGGTAATCCCTATTCTCATGGCATTTCGGGTCAATCAAGCATAAGGGAGCTAACTCAAGTTCATCTCTCGATCTTTCGTTGAGA